CATTGCCATTGCTGCAGCAGCAGCACAACGGCGCCGCCTCTACGGTGTACAGACAAACAGTCTGCTGCTGTCTGTAGCTATAGGTGCAGCAACAGCAACAGCAGCAGCAGCAGCAGCAGCAGCAGCAACAGCTGCTGCTGCTGCTACATCAGCGTCAGCAGCTGTTGCTGCATCAGCATAAGCAGCCTTTGCTGCTGCTGCTGCAGCCTTTATACTGCTGCATCTGCAGCCTTTACTGCTGCAGCTGCAGCCTTTGCTGCTGCTGCTCCGCTGCTGCTGCCGCTGCTGCTGCTGCTGCTGCTGCTGCAGCAGCAGCAGCAGTTTATGTGGGGTTTCTGCGGGTGAGGGTTCTCATAAAGGAGCTGAGGTCGGCCTTCAGTCTCTCCCTTCTCCCCGAGGGTCTTGCTGCTGCTGCTGCTGTTATGCCAACTGGCGCTGCCCCGCTGCTGCTGCTGCTGCTGCTGCTGCTGCTGCTGTTGCTGTTGCTGTTGTTGTTGTTGATGCTGTTTGCTGCTGCTCCAGGCTCTACCGCTGTCTCGCTGCGACGCTGGCCGTCGAGCTGCCAGCTGCTGCTGCTGCTGCTGCTACTGCTGCTGCTGCTGCTGCTGCTGCTGCTGTGTGGGTCCGCCGGCTGCTGCTGCCCGCTGTTGCTGCGCTGCCGCGTCGCTGTTCCCGCTGCAGCAGCATCAGCAGCCGGAGCAGCAGCAGCAGCAGCAGCAGGAGCAGCAGCAGCAGCAGCAGGAGCAGCAGCAGCAGCAGCAGATCTACGAACCATAGAAACACGCCTGGAGGCGCTGCTGCGCAGCCGCCGCAGCAGCTGCCGTCGTGGCGCCCGTGCAGGCGTGCTGCTGCTGCTGCTGCTGCTGCTGCTGCTGCTGAAAGGAGCAGCAGCAGCAGCTGTATCAGAAGGAGCTGCAGGAGCATCATCAGCAGCAGGTGATTCAGCAGCAGCAGCAGCAGCAGCAGGAGCAGCAGGAGCAGCAGCAGCAGTGCTTGGCCGCATTGAAGCGCGGAGGGCCCCCCAGAGCCTCTGGCGCCTGCTGCTGTCTGCTGCTGCTGCTGCTGCAGCAGCCTGCTGCTGCTGCTGCTGCTGCATCTGCATCTGTTGCTGCTGCAGCTGTTCTAGCTGCTGCTGCTGCTGCTGCTCCTGTTGCCGCTGCTGTATCTGCTGCAGCTGTCTTCGTATCTGCATCTGCAAGTGGTGCTGCTGCATCTGTAGGTGTATTTGTCTTTGCTGCTGCATATGAAGTTGCTGCTGCTGCTGCTGCTGCTGCAGTTGCTGCTGCGATAAGTAGCCGCTGCGCGTATTCCGAAAAAGAGGAAAACGGCTAGCAGTCCTACTACTACTACTGCTGCTGCTACTACTGCTGCTGCTGCTGCTGCTGCTGCTGCTGCTGCTGCTGCTGCTGCTGCTTCTTGCTGCTTCTAGCAGAGAAGGGGGGTAATCTACCTGACAGATAGAGTGGCAGCGCCAGCACTCCAGCAGCAAACAACCCAACAAAGAAATGTTCCGCGTGCTGCACCGCCCGCACACCACTATCATCACCTGCAGCAGCAGCAGCAGCAGCAGCAGCAGCAACAGCAGCAGCAGCAGCAGCAGCAGCAGCAGCAGCA